TATAAAATATAGATATAATAAATTTCGTATTTCTTAATTTTCAATAATTTTGAATCCCATCTCCAGATTTTCTTTCCACACAGAGATCCATTTTTGCCGTATTCATATGAGAATATTTCCGACCCTCAAAATCGTTCCCAGATGGTATTTCGTAATTTTACTATCAATGCCTGATCAAAAAAATTGTTCTGGGATCAATCTTGGATTGACAACTTTCGCCCGTGATTGGGTCATGATATTGAAATGGCGAAACGAATTCTTTCACGCGATCTGCATCTGAAACATCCTCAGGTCAAACCTCAGATCAAAGGGCAAGTACCCACCCTTCCGAGTCTGGAGGATCAACTTCTAGATGCCGTGCGTCCCACCATCTCGGACCTCGAGTTCCAGAGCATGTTATCCATCTATTGGAACTGAGATTGAGGAACTCCCTTCTTGTCGGGCTTTCTGGAGGGTCTTAGACTGCCAGAAGTTGAAGTGCCTTGCTGGGAGGTTTTTTTTGCCCTGATGGGGCTGGAAGCTGGAGGACCTTCTTGCCCATACTGCTCTTTGCCACCTGGCCGCGCGCTGCGGGGGGGACAGTGCTTCTCTGGTTTTGACATGGTTCGAATGACAGAGCCGGCCCCACAACGTGTTTTCGTGGAGCCGAGGCCGCGCCACTGCCGCGCCCATGTCCAGTGCCGCATGCGACATTACAGGGTCTGTGGCAATCCACCATGTCTGCAAGCTAACGGTTTGAAGCAGTTGTTGCAAAGAATTGGTTCTCAAATTGAGGATCATCGTCTGTCCCTCGATCATGGTACAGCGATCTGCGTAGCAGAAGACTCGTTGCAAGCAGTGGGAGGCAACTCTTGCGCAAGCTACGTGTGCGGTCGCTCCCTCTTGGTTGGGAGCAATGAGCAACCCCAGCAGGATGTTAGGAGCTTCATGGCAACAGGAAGTGACAGGAAGTACCCGCACTAGCAGCAAACTCGCCAGCGGAATGAAGAGACCACAAAGTCGCGAGACGTGAAGCTGTGCATCGCAGCCCCTGCTGCCACGCCTGCTTCTTAGGGGTGCGCATCAGTGCGCTGAGACTTGGAAACGGTCTTGCCGGAGCTGCAACTTGCGCCACCCACTGCCCCTCCCGGCCACCAAGCATCAGTGGTCGAGTTCTGCACGCTTTGTGGACTCCGTGGACTCAGTGGACTCGCCGCAAGCGGCGGCGGCACTTGCGGCAGCGGCGGCGGATGTGCTGCTTGATGCGGTCACACATGTCCCAAGTCTGCACGTTTTGCAGGCTGAAATGATCTGCATCGAAGAGATGGTATGCCGATCGCTTTGAAAGCTGGTAGTCCCAGGATGCAGCTAAGCCGCTGGCCATATGAACAAAGGCGCGAGCCTGAAGGCCACCCCTTGGCCCCAGTGGGGCAACGAACTCGATCTCGAGCGTATCGAGGCGAAAGAAGGTAGGTGACAGCGACTGGGTTAGGCTGCGGGGTATTTCGGTCAAGACCTCGAGGGAGGTCAAGTCCACAAAGCGCGAATCCAATGCCACCAAGCCTCGAACATCAAGGCCACAGGTGGCCAGTTGAACAGCCGCGCTGCGTGCCACGGGGACCCCAAAGCTGTGCCCACAAAGGATCAGTTCGAAGACTCTTCAGCACGTCCTCCCATCTGTCTCCACGCCGCCAAAGCGGCAGCACATGGGTGGCAGGGCAAAACGTTCCGTAGCGACTCCTCGACCGAACCGAACAGCCCAACAGCCCCAAGATGGAACTGGTTCAGGCCGAAGTACGCCGATGAGGGGCCGACCAGGCGGGCACCGCCTCCAAAGAAGATCATCGAGATCAGGCTTCGGGGGGCTTCTGGGGTCAGAGTCAAAGTGTCCAACTCGGGGTGACTCAAGAGGCTCCTCCTATCTCCGTTTTCTCAACCTTAACAGAGGCACTTGGGGAACCTGGGCAGTCGGATCAGCGCACCTGGGCCAACGGCAGGGCCACAGCAGAGCCTGGCTTTTGCTGGTCGCGAGCCTGTGGGGTCCTTTGTGGGATGGTTCGTCGTTGACTGAGGCTGCAGGAGCTCGGTACACCGGATTTTTTGAACTGAGATTGCAGGAGATTGTGATCTTGGGAGGATTCTGGCCAGATGTTTGTGGCAGAAGTGCCCCAGGAAGTCAGGCCGACAAGATGATCTTGTCCAGGTACCGCTGCAAACATGACGTCCAGGTGGCCAGCGAGCCATGCGGAAGCAGCATGTGAAGCCTGCACTGAGCAGGTTGAACACAAGCTTGACCTGCTTGTGCTTTCGGAGCCAGTGCTGTGGCGAGACCCGCAGAAACTGGGAGCATTGTTGTGAAGCGTGCCGCTCCAGCACAAGGCCAATCACGAAGTCTGAATGATGGAGCGCTTCGCTCGAGGACATGCTCACTCTGAAAAAGGGGTTGGGAACGGCTGGAGGCATGAGGGCTACGTCAACTTGAAGGGGCTTTCGGGTTTCTGACTGCTCAGAAGGCACTAGCTCTTGAGCTCCAGAGAAGGGCTCTTGATGAGTGTGCAGACTGCACAAGGCATCCTATGGGGCCGCAAAGGGCCCTAGAGCAAGGGTCTCTTCAGCAAGTCACTGAGTGTCCTTGAAGCTGTTTGATGTTGTGGGACAAGCGCTCCATGTGAGGTTGCAACACTTGTGTATTGTGAGACAGCTCATTGAGGAGATTCTCGAAGGCCTCGCATAGCCTCTGTGGCTGCAGTCTGGCACGCGGCATGCCTTGCCTCCTACAGCCCAAGCCCTTCATAAACCCAACATGGTGAAAGCAGAACGCCCACACGCCAAGTTCACAACTTGGGCTTGAACTTCAAGACTCTGAAAACTAGGTTCTTGGCAAGCTTCAGCATCCACCTGGGATGGCTTGGGGGAATGGACCCCGAGTGCAAGAAGCACCTTGGCAGTCCGGACTTCATTCGAATTTGCGAAGCGCCTTCCTTCACGACAGTAGAATTGAGGCGGCATGCTTGACGTTATTGCGAATCTTTGACTGCTAGAAGAATGTTCACAGCTGATGGTTTGCCGACGCCTTGCCGGCAAATGTAGCCAGACGTGTCTGCCCAAACATCAAACCCGCTGACAGCAGCTGATGGGTTCTCTGTTCAAATCGCAACCTGAGTGGAGGCCCTGCTGTACACGAAGCCCCCTGCAGCTCTGAGCTTGTTGTCGCAGTTTGGCATGCAGAATGGCGAGCCTAAGTCTGGAAGGAGACTCCAAAAGACTCAGAAGTGAAGAACAGAGGACCTTTGAAATAACTCCTGGGGAGTGAGACTGAGAGTGGTCAACTGACCGCACCCCGCAACGGGAAGCAGGCTCTGGTACGCGGAAGACCAAGTCTTTGAGTGCCAGAAGGGAAAACGCGTTTAGCTGTCAAGCAGGTTAACAGCAACTGCAGGGAGACGTGTCTCAGCTCAAGCATCGATTGCGATGACGGCCGCGAGGAGAATGGCTTCTTCAACTTGCAACCTGCATGGAGGCCCCACTGTGCCCGAAGCCCCCTTTCGGGCACCCTGAAACTCTGAAGTTGTAGCAGTTTGGCAAGCTTGGCCGCCTGGACCAGGTGAAGGTCTGGAAGGGAGACTCCCAAAGGCTCAGATGTGAAGAGCAAACTGAGGAGTGAGAGCAGTCAACTGGCCAGCCCGAACAGGGAAAGCAGGCTCTGCAAAATGGCAGAGTATGGCAGAGTTTTTTTTGGGGCAGAGCTTCCTACGCCTGCGGGGTCCTTCGTGAGAAAGGCTGTATGGCAGCACAAGATAGCACAAGCATCTGGATGGTTGATTGAGGCTGCCAGACCTTGGTGCACTGGACTTTTTGCACCGAGGTTGCAGGAGAACATGAACTTGGAAGGATTCTGGCCAAATGCCACATGTTTGTGGCCAGAAGCTCCAGGAAATCAAGCTGGACTGGCAAAGTGCGGTACCGAAGCAACAAGATAGCATGTGAAGCCTGCACTGAGCAGGTTGTGTAGCTTGGCCTGCTTTTGCAGCCAGTACTGTAGCAAGCAAGACCCGCAGAAACTGGGAGCATTGTTGTGAAGTGTGCCGCTCCAGCACAAGGCCAATCACGCAGTCTGAATGATGGAGCGCTTCGCTCGAGGACATGCTCACTCTGAACAAGGGGTTGGGAACGGCTGGAGGCATGAGGGCTACGTCAACTTGAAGGGGCTTTCGGGTTTCTGACTGCTCAGAAGGCAGGCGCGCTAGCTCTTGAGCTCCAGAGAAGGGCTGTTGATGAGTGTGCGGACTGCACAAGACATCCTATGGGGCCGCAAAGGGCCCTAGAGCAAGGGTCCCTTCAGCAAGTCGGCGGGTGTCCTTGAAGCCGTTTTATGTTGTAGGACAAATGCTCCATGTGAGACTGCAACACTTGTGTATTGTGATACAGCTTCTTGAGGAGATTCTGGAAGGCCTCGCATAGCCTCTGTGGCTGAGCTCTGACACTCTGCATGCCTTGCCGCCTACAGCCCAAGGTTTTCATTAACCCGACGTGGTGACAGAGCTCCCACACGCCAAGTTCACAACTTGGGCTTGGACTTCAAGGCACCTCGCGAACGCCTCGCTAACATCTCAACCTCAATTCACCGAGAACGCCTCGTCGATGCACCGCCGACCTGCCTAATTTTCGCGAACGCATTCGAACGCCCTTGCTCACGATGACCTTTTACAATTGAAGCGACATGCCGACATTGGTTCGAACCTTGGCTTGAAAGAATCAAGCTCACAAGCCTCACCAGTAAATGCAGCGAGACGTGTCTGCCCAAACATCAATGTTACTTCATTTTGCACACTGCATGAACTTCGGAACTTGCTGTCGCAATTTGGCAGCTTGGCTGGTGAGCCTTGGCCGTGTGAACCCCCAAAGGCTCAGGAGTGCAGAGCAGAAGACCTTCGAAACGCTGACGGAGCTGCAACATCTCCGCAAACTCCTTCAGCTGCATTCTTGAAGCTGATTCAACGGTTCTGAGACACGACTTCATGCGGACACTCATCCTCTTTAACAAGAACCCGGCTGGTTGTGGAGACCGTGCTTCCGAACCCAACACCACGCAAAGAACTCAAAGTGGACAAAGGCCTTTGAAGTTGCTCAGGCACAAGGCCTTCGAAGGGTCGGCGCTGGGTGTGGCGCCAACCTCCTCTCCGGACTCCTCGCCTTTGCAGAACCACTGTGTGAGACCAAAACAGCATCGGTACTAATTTCCGGCAATCCGCCAAATGTCGCTAACTTCGCCCTCAACCTGTGGAACCTATGGGGCCCACCAGCCGCTGAAACCTTCGGGACACAACGCCAAGAGATGCCCCGAAAACGCCGAAGGGCCGACACGGCGGGCAAGTCGTCGAGCTCAGCCAATTGGTCGTTGAGTCGACTTCCCTTCTGCCAGACGTTGCCTGAGCTCTGCGTAGTGTCGCACGTCGCCAGCTTGCATTAGGCCCAGTGCCCACTTCAGGCCATTCTGAAGCTAGAAGGCTAAGATGTAAGATGCGACTTGGCATCTCGTGGGCATCTTGGGAGGACCACCTGTCTTCAGAGAGTGCATAGATTCGGCATAGATCCTCTGCAATTGGAGGTGGAGGAATGGGGGACGCAAAGAAGATTTCTCAGCGGCAAGCGCGCTGCGGTCGCTTGCAGAGTTGGGGCCGCACCGAAAATCTCGCGCCTCTCACTTGCCATTCGCCAGCTGTGCTCTTTTCCGAGGGTGAAGCCGGCGATGCTTGCAAGGCGTGCAAGTGGGCCCTTGGAAGAAACCGTGCAAAGGAGCCCTTCCCAAAAACCCAGATCTCGGCAAATCTACGACGGGGGCACAGCGACCCCAACCATGAGTAGGCTTCGGGCTCTGGGTCATGTCAATTCTCCTGGCTGAGATAAGATGTCTACAGGAAAGCTGACGCACGTCCATCTAGTTCTTTGAAAGTATGAACGAAGCTACTGCTTTCTTCTTATTCCGGGCTCTTCAAGCCATTGGTTTCCGTGCATCCTGCTGCTAGTGAAGCCTGCATGTTGCAGCAGTGTGGAAACCTACGAGTTGCGTCACGTGAGTGCCTCACTTCGCTCCGTGGCCATGTTGCATGCTCAGGCGACACGCAAACGCAGGAGGAGGCTCTTGTAGCCGGTAGCCGTCTTCGTAGGCTCACACGGTTCGCGCTTGCGACAGCGACACCAGATGTGATGTCCAACCAACCTCCAGAAGAACTTCCAGATCTGGGATGTCTGGGGTGTGCCGTATTATGCGCCGTATTAGGCTGGGACTCTTCGCTCGCGTCAGGTTACGACAGTGTGTGTGTGTGTGGCACGAGCGGGAAGTGGCTGCTATTCACCAGAAGGTGCAAGGAGCTTCGGGCTTAGGGAGCTTGACAATTGGCCTGCTAAAGCAAGCGACGGCTGTCGAAGGGCTGTTACAAGGATCCAGAAGGCCTGAATGGTGTCAGGAGCTTCAGTGTTCCAGCTGCGGATGCCTGGAAGTGACATGCCACCCTGACAGTGGCTTGCTTAGGGATTTGCTTAGGGCTGTTCCGGGGATGTAGGTTTGAGTTGGCCTCTGAAGCATTGCCGAGCAGAAGCTAAACATGTTGGCGTCCCCTTCGTTCTGCTGAGCTGATGCTTCTTACCAACAGCAAGGCATGAGCGTGACCATGTTGTAAACCAATTGGAGACCTCGGAACTCCCGGCATTCTTACACGACAGCCTGGTGCAGGCACGTTCCATGTCCCGAAGCGCCGAAAGTGCCATCGCGGTAGCTGAGGCATCGAAGACAGAATCAGAAGACCACGAACCCACATTCAGCTACTTGCCAGCCATGTCAGTGCTATGGCCGCACTTTATGTGGTCAAATGTACGCCTTTAAGAGAGGTCACGTGCGGAGCATGTATCGGACCCTTCATGCCTCCTTGAGTCATCACGACGCACGTGCTCCAATGCTGTCAGGACAGAAAGGCTGTCGAGAACTTGTAGTCGCCAAAACGCTGGTGCTGACACGCCCACAAATTTCGGATGTGGCATATGCTGTCGGTTGTGGACTGGACACGTCTCGCACGTAACTCCTGAAACATGGTGTGTAATCGTAGCTCATGCAATCATGTCACATCGCATATGTTGCACATGCGATGCGCCACGCGACTTTGAGTTAGTTCAAACATTGCCCTGCACTGCCTCGCTGATTCAACAACCAGGTCGGGCGCCAGCTATCGACTCTTGTCCAACCTTGTTTGGCTCGGGATGGTGGGTGGGTGCTCGGCAACACCCTCCACCTCACACCGCCTCAAAAGGGAGGTGTGAGGTAGGTGACTACTCATCAAGAAAGACTTGCCCCAGTAAGAGGGTTCGGGGCACGAAGTCCCCCACACATTCAGGACACATTCATGCTTAAAGCTTGAGTGCCCCATACG